TCCATCCTTCTGAGGTGGGTGAAATGAGGACCCAGACTGTGGGGGCGATATGCTGACTCTGTAAACCGCTTAGAGGGCTGAAAGCCCTATGAAGCTGTATATAAGTCTGCTATTGCTATTGCTAAAAGTCCACAGGGAAGTCCTATCCACTTAACCAACAGTGTCATTCATTTAAAAACTGCAAGGATTCACTCAACCACTGTGGGAAAGGAAGGTCATAAAACGGGGCAAAAACTCAACTTTACAAACTCGCTTTACAAAAAAATAAAAACCCTCACAAACAAATGTATGTTGCCTCCCTTAACAACATAAACGTTGGCCGCTGTTGCGGTCGTAAGTCGAGGACTACCTGTATTTGAAGTCGACCCACAAACAAGAGAATAGCGGGTCAGTCTATCCTTCGTTAGTCTACATATATTGTTTTCGTCTCCCCCTCCTGGCCGTTTAATTCTCTACCCTCAAATGATCCTTTCAGCTCCGCCCCCTTTGGCGCGCTGCCTGCCGAGATGGGAGGGGGGACGGAAGTGGGCGGAGAGGCCGCTTCCGGTCTGAGCGTGTTGGCGGGATAGCGCAAGCAGTGCGCCTCATTCCGAAGTAGCGCGTGGCGCAGCCAAGATGGCGGACGGGACAGGTGGGTGAGAGGCGCGCGTCCCGGCGATCTCGCCTTTTTTTTTGCGCCCTCAGGATTTCCAACATTTGCCGACAGGGAAGAGGAGGCTGGGTGTATGTGTGTGTGTGTAGGCGTCCTTTTCTCCTGACCCTCCGACGAGCACGACCCCGTTTCTTGGAAAGGCCCGTGAGGGAAGGAGGGGAAGCACGTGCTTCCCGGGCGCGCGGGGGAAAGGCACTCTGTGCATGCACAGGAGTCCTTGAGTGTGTGGGGGGCGCAAGATGGGTTGCAGAAACTTCCCCAACGGGGCTTTGGAGAATTGGGGAGTTTTAGGGGGGTCTCTTGTTCTTGGGGGAGCGAGCCCGAATTTCCCCCTTGCAGCGCCACACGGGAAAGCTCCGGCCTCTCCCCCAGGGAGCTTTTCTCTCCACCCAGAAGGGCGATTTCGTGACTGGCTTGGAAAATCCATGCTGGAACGTTTGTTATTGCTCCTCTTATTATTTTATCCCTCGTGTGTGTGTTTGTAATTAGTTTCATTATTGTTCCTATTGTTTTATCCCTCCTTTTATGTGTGCGTATACATTATCTGTCCTATCCATATCGTTTCATTTTTGCTCCCTTGTGTGTGTAATTTAGTTTCATTGTTGCTCCTATTATTTTATCCCTCCTTTTATGTGTGTCTATACATATGTATATATATATTTATTTCATTTCATTATTGCTCCTATTTTATCCGTGTGTGTGTAATCATTTGGTTTCATTATTGGTCCTATTATTATTTTACCCCTCCTTTTATGTCTACATGCGTGTGTGTTTCATTATTTCTTTTAATTATTGCTTCTATTATTTTATCCCTCTTACACACACGTGTAGAGATAGGCTTGGAAACTTAATGCTGGGATGTTTTATCATGGCTCCTATTATTATATCCCTCCTTTTATGTGTATATGTATGTATATTTCATTATTTTGTTTCATTATTTCTCCTATTTTATCCCTACTTTTATGTGTGCGTGTATACATTTACAGATATGTCTGTGCATATATATGTTTATTTCATTTTATTAGTGCTCCTATTTTATCCCTCCTTTTGTGTGTGTGTGTGTGGCAGCAAATATTCCTAATGCTCTGGCCTCCTATTTTTCCCAACAACAGCCCTGTGAGGTGGGGTGGCTTGAAAGAGGGTGAATGGGAGAGTAAAGTCACCCATTGGGCTTTGATTGATGTATTTGATAGTATGTATTAACGAGTTTGGATGAATGCTTTGCAATGCTTCCCTGCTCATTACTACTCTCTTTACCCTGCTTTTGCACAAAGTTAACATTGAGTTGCATGATTGTGTCTAATGTGAGTTGTTTGCAATGTATTGCAATTTTGTTGGTGTCATCCCAAAGAGTTAAAAGTTGATGGAAAGGGGGGTGGGTAGACACGTGGTTGGGCCTGGTAGGCCATTTTGGAAGATACATCTTTACATTGCAATCCACCAAATGTGTTGATGCTAAAAATTTTACCGTGAATATATTTATCCTCTCCGTATATATTTATTAGGAGTTTGAAATGAAGAACCTTCTCTAAAATATAAGTTCTCCAATTTTTTTTCCATTCTCTTTGATCCCTAAACATCTGGTTTAGGGATCAAAGTTGGAAGTTCTTGTTAAAATAGAAAGGTGTGTTGGATATTGTTGGCTGCCTTGAGATATTTGTTAAAACAATAATGGGGGGATACAAAGTAAATAAAAAGTTTAGTACTACCCTAATTCATCCAGCTTTTTTCAGCTCTATATTAAAATAATGTGTGTAAATCCCATCAGCATTAATCCAACTACTAAAGTTTAGTTTTGGTAGACCAGTAAACAGCATTTCCAGATATGTTTCTATCTTTTAAGTTTGCAACAGATGCTAATTTTTATTGCTTTTTATGCCACTGTAGATTCAGTTCCTAAGAAACATAAGAAGAAAAAGAAGTCTTTGCCGGATGAAGATGTTGCAGTGAGTTGGCCAATTATTATAGTTTGCCAATTTATGCAGCAAGCTGTTTTAAGCCCCAATTGTGTGTTCCCAAATAAATGTATAATTTAACTTGCCTTTACTGGAACATTGATGCTTTATTAATCCCACAACACAAAGATTAGCACTTCTACAATATCGTTAGCTACTGATCCCATGTTTATTTTTCTGTAGTAATATTTTCTCATGTGTCCATAATGTGTATATACATCCTGGGAAAGAATTTGTTACAGGTAGTCCTCAACTTACGACCAAAGTTCAGCCCAACATTTCTGTTACTAGGCAAGGAGATTGTTAACTTGAGTTTTGCCCCATTTTATACTTTTTCTGCCATAATAGTTGTGGATCACTGCAGTTCTTAAGTGAATCGTGCAGTCATAAACCAAATCTGGATTTCCCCATTGACTTTGCTTGTCAGAGCCAGCTGAAAAGATCACAAATGGTGATCGCAAGACCATGCAACTATCATAGGACTAAATGCCAAGTGCCCAAATTTTGATTAGGTGACCAAATTTTGATTAGGTGATGTTGCAACGTCATAAGTGTGAAAATGGGACATAAGCCTCTTTTTCAGTGTCCTTGTAACTTTAGATGGCCATTAAACAAATGGTTGTAAGTCGAGACTATCTGTACTATTCTCTATTCTACTAGCCAGTAGCTTCCCATCTGACTTTTATTTTTAAAAGTACTTCCTGAAGCACAGCGAGAGAAGTTTGATGATCTGAGTGTTAATGGTTTTTTCATTTCTAGTTTAAGCAAAAGTAAAGTTCCTTTACTTTTTTTACTTTTACATGGTGGCTCAGTGGCTAAGACTCTGAGCTTGTTGTTCGGAAAGGTTGGCGGTTCGAATCCCTAGCGCCGCGTTACAGAGTGAGCTCCCGTTACTTCTCCCAGCTTCTGCCAACCTTGCAGTTCGAAAGAATATTAAAATGCAAATAGAAAAAATAGGAACCACTTTGGTGGGAAAGTCACAGTGCTCTGTGTGCCTTAGTCATTCCGGCCACATGATCACGGAGACGTCTTGGGACAGTGCTGGCTCTTCAGCTTTGAAACGGAGATGAGCACCGCCCCCTAGAGTCAGGAACGAGGGGAACCTTTACCTTTAAAGTTCCTAGAATCAAAGTCAACTTCCGACTTCATTGATAAGTCTTTGTGGCTTTCTTGGCAACCATTTAGAAATGGTTTTCCATTCCCTTTTTCTGCCATGATGGTTTTTGGTTTCCTAATTTAGCCTGCAGTCATGGAATTCCTGTCTCCCATTCAGCTCTGGTCCCTGCATAGCTCTTTAGTCCCACCAGATGGCGCTACCACATTTCCTTACTGAAAACTGCCCCTTTGCAAGTCATTAATGAATAATATGATACAAGCGTGTTTCATCTAATGTGTTGGAGAGGCAGTTTACCTTAAGGCCAAACTTAGCTGCAAGACAAGTTTTTCGCATTCTTGTTCACAGTCCCAGTTATTAATCTATTAATTCAATTGTTTTTAGGATATACAACATACAGAAGAATTCCTTATCAAACCTGAGTCAAGAGTGGCCCAGCTGGATACATCACAATGGCCTTTGCTTCTCAAAGTAAGATAGTTATACCAGTGAAGTAGGTTGCATTAATGCCAGTGTGACATTTTTTGTGCAGACACAAGATAATTTACAACTAAAAAAAACAAATCTCCATTTTTAAGAGTAAATTTTAGGTATTGCTGTTTTTATGGAGCTGACAGTGCATATTATGCTCCAAAGAATTTGTGTAGAAGGGTAGATAAGTTTCAGATCAAGGCAATTTACTGAGGCTTTTTGCCAAGTAAGATCAGACGTATAACATCTAATAAACAAAAATCATATTTCCCTATGAACTAAATATAATTTTGTTTTGTAGAATTTTGACAAGTTAAATGTGAGGACAGCGCACTACACCCCACTTCCTTCTGGCTGCAATCCCTTAAAAAGAGAAATTGCTGAGTATGTAAGGTAAGATTGTGTTACACGATATAAAACCATCTTTTCTTCCAACCCGTCACCAAGAAGGTTTCTTCAGCAACTTTTCTTACAGAATTTCGGAATCACAAAGGGCTATTAATCTTCTCTCCTTGGGTTTTCAGTACACCAATTTTTACACATGAGTTTCTATATAACAGTTACCCAGTAATAACATTTCTTTATAACAGTTGACAGTTTGGCAGAGAATAACCTATCCATTGTTGTGGCACATAATGTTTATCAGTTGGCCAAATCAAAAACAATACAGAAACAAAAGGGAATCTAGTTTAATATTTTACAGATAAATGTTCATTACGGCTTAAAGTTACAGTGAACCCTGTAATGTGCTTGAAATCTTTTTTGGGGGAAGCATGGATGCCTGCAAATCTTATCTTGACAGCTGGCAATTGCCTAGATTAGTCCCTGCAGTTTTCTTGGCAAGATTCCATAAGTGATTTGCCATTGCCTCCTTCCTAGGGCTGAAATATTGGGACTGGCCCAAGGTCACCCATCTGGCTTCTTGCCCAAGATTGGGACTAAAAGACGCAGTCTTCCAGTTGCTAAGAGCCTCAGTGATGCAGTGGTTAAAGTGCAGTACTGCAGCTACTTCTGCTGGCTGCCTGCAATTTGGCATTTCGAATCTCACCAGGCTAAAGGTTGGAATTGGAAATTGGAAAAGTTTATTTATAGGCCGCCCTTTTCCCTGGGGGGACTCAGGGCGGCTTACAACTCATAGGGAAAGGGGATACAAACAATGACACATAAGCACAATACATAATTAAAAAGAACACACATAATTAAAGGTTGACTCGGCCTTCCATCCTGGTAGATAAAATGAGGACCTAGATTTTTGGGGGCAAGAGGCTGACTCTAAACCACTGAGAGAGGGCTATCAAGCACTGTAAAGTGCTATATAAGTTTAAGTGCTATTGCTAGACTTATACTTTAAACATGTTGTTAAATGCTTTTTGTTTAAGTCATCTAATCGCCGATTTTTGTCCTAGGACGGGCTTCATCAACCTGGATAAGCCTTCCAACCCTTCCTCCCATGAGGTTGTGGCCTGGATCCGCCGCATTCTCCGTGTTGAGAAGACAGGCCATAGCGGCACATTGGATCCCAAAGTTACCGGCTGCCTGATTGTGTGCATTGAGCGAGCAACCCGTTTGGTCAAGTCTCAGCAAAGCGCAGGTATATCATCTGCTTTGTGTCTCTAGTCAAGAAAGAGAGTGCCTTCAGCCTCGTGATGGAACATTAAAATCCAAGTGGCCCCTCCTTACTACTCTTCTGTCATCTTCCAGGCAAAGAGTATGTGGGAATCGTTCGGCTGCACAATGCAATTGAGAGTGAAATGCAACTTTCGAGGGTAAGTTTTGGCCAGTCAGGAAGTGAAACATTCACCAGTTGTCTAGCTTTAAACTGTTTCAACTCCTGCCCTCAAGATGACATTATAGGGCACTCCACACCAGAACAACTAGACACAAGGACAGTTTTTCCCTGAATGCCATCACTGCTAAACAAATAATACCCTCAGCACTGTCAAACTATTCATTAAGGCTGCATTACTATTACTACTAATCTTCTCATCGTTCCTATCACCCATCTCTTCCCATTTGAGAAGTTAGTTGCTTGTATCCTTACAATAGTTTCCTAGTATGATTTCATTGCTTATTTGTACCCTATGACTATCATTAAGTGCTGCACCTAATGATTCTTGATAAATGTATCTCTTCTTTTATGTACACTGAGAGCTTATGCACCAAAGGCAAATTCCTTGGGTGTCCAATCACACTTCACCAATGAAGAATTCTATTCTTATTCTATTTTCTATTCTTAGTCTATTCTGTTCTGTTTTCTATTCTTATTCTATTCTATTCTTATTCTATTTTGTATTCTTATTCCATTCTATGAATGGGAACGTCATTTGCACCAGCAAACCATAGTTTGAACTTAGAATGATTAAGGATAGAATAAAAGGGCTTGTAACCATGCTGAGTTTTGATGGGCATTTCAACATCTCCAGGCTTAAACCACCACTCTGTCCATGTTTGGTCTTCTTTAATTTGAAGTTTACTTGAATCAATTGAGGGTGTAACTAAACTTTCTTTTACCTTTGCTTCTGAGCTGCTTGACCTAATGCTATCTTATTTTATTTTTCTTTCTGTAGGCAATAGAAACCTTGACAGGTGCCCTCTTTCAGAGACCTCCCCTCATTGCTGCCGTGAAGAGGCAGCTGAGAGTCAGAACCATTTATGAAAGCAAACTGGTTGAATATGATCCAGAAAGAAGACTGGGTAATGACATCCTTTTTCCCCCCACTCAGGGAAAAGGGTGGTGGTGGTCCTTCTGGAACCCAGCCAAAGATAGAAGCCCCATTCCTGTCCCTCCCTGCAGCTCTTTCCCTGCGGTTTAACCTTCCAGATCTTTCCCTGGAGCTTAGCTTTCGAAGGCTGCCTTTGCAGTTGCTGTGCTCTCCCTCCCACCATTAGCAGTTTCTGAGCCAAATGATGTAGAAATGATGACATAGCCCATCGTGCAAAGATGACGTTTCATCTATCACCCAATTCTGATGGCTCGAATTGAAAAAGTCTGCTCGTAATTCCTACAGACCAGGTGGTGATATTATTCTCTTTGGCATCAATGGGTTTTTTCCCCCCTCCGCCCCTTTTCCAGGTATTTTCTGGGTGAGCTGTGAAGCCGGAACCTACATCCGGACGCTTTGCGTGCATCTGGGTTTATTGCTGGGAGTTGGCGGTCAAATGCAGGAGCTCCGGAGAGTCCGCTCCGGGGTCATGGGAGAGAAGGTGGGTCAAGGATGTAACCTGTCAAAAGAAGTGCCTGATCTACCCAAAGGGTTGAGTTCAGTTCAGGGTTCTCCCCCCTGTGCTGGTAATTAAACTTTGGGACAGTGAATAGTTGGGAGAATGTGGGGGTAGAAAGTTTCATTTTTCTGCCAGTACACCTCTCTCAACGCACAATATTACCCTGTTTCCCCAAAAATAAGACCTCCCCAAAAATATTGCAACACAGCAGCAGCCATCTCCTGCACCAAGACCTCCCCAAAAATAAAGCCAAACGCTTATTTCAGGGGTCAAGACCCTTGTCTTATTTTCGGAGAAACACGCTATACAGCATCCAAATGAGTCCATAGTACATAGAATTACACAGAGTCCCAAACAAAAAAACATGAAGTTAGGATTTTTCCTCCCTTATTTCTTATTTTAGCCCAGTGGTAGTCAACCTGGTCCCTACCGCCCACTAGTGGGCGTTCCAGCTT